TGTCAGCAAGTTTCGTCAGTTCCTGACGGCATTCCCAGACCAGTCTCGATGTCACTTTCGAGTTTGTAAGTGCCCCTAGTGCACCCTGGATGTCTTTAAAAATATTGTTCCGCTTATTTTCTTAGGCCTTACTCGCGCAATACAAGACTACATAAACTACAGGCTGGAACAATGATGTGTACCGACCGAGAGGGTAACTGAAATGAATATTTCTTCCCCACGGTATATTCCAGCTCCCATCTCATGTTCTGTTTTTGACCCGTTTGTAAGCCAGGTGTTTCTGATCACTCTTCGTGGTCTACGACTTCAACCAGGACGTAGTTTTTGCCGAGCATGTATTTCGTTATCATGTGAAACGAGAACATATGTTAGATGTTCTTTCTCCATATTTTCTAAAATTTCTCTTTTGTCGACCCCATGTACGTCGGTGAGTTTTCCAGTCCAAATCTGCCCACTTTTTCTAACACCATCATTACACGATGAAAAAAAGAAATAATCAAGAATGTCTTCAATGCTTTTGGATGGTTATCGTTGCTTTCGTTATTCTCAAACATGAAAGTCTTTTCTCCCTGCTCCGTTTGTTAATAGTCGTCGTTTTGATTCATCTTTGGCCACCAGACCATGTATGCATATAGTATCTTTGGTTTAAACACATTGATATAAAGCCAATGTATGTCTGTACTCCTTAGGTGCGTCTGGGCAGTATCAGTACGACCTCTGCATTTTTTTCACTCTTTCTAGATGGTGGTGCCAGGCAAGCCTGGGATCTAATATCACTCCCAGGTATTAGACCTGTCCCTGTGATTTATATTCACCCCTTCTTCCTCGGTCCCTCATTATAGGATGATATAGGACTAGGATGACTAAGTCATTAATTCAACCCAGTACTTTGCATCCATTATGGTCCAATCCAGCAACTCGTCCGTTGAAATGTTCGATAACAGTTGTGATGAAACTACCCTCTGAGGGCAGCTCCTTGCAATCCGTGCCACTACTATTTCTTCCATTATGGTCGTATATACCAATAGTCCTCTAAGCATATAGCTAATTCAGCCGCAGTTTCTGATGTCGATAACTCTTCTCTTCAACGCCTGGATGATTGATTCTAGGGATGTATTATCGCCCTCAATATCCAAGAGAGCACCCTAAAGTACTTGTTTTTGAATGCTTATTCTGCTTTTTCCTTGACCCGACATGAAGCCGTTTCAGTTAACATACCTGACTTATACGATGCGATGACACCTTGAAGTGTCAGTGTATTTTTTCTAATATTTTTAATGCCAATGACATTGTAACGAATTTGAAGCCGACCCTGAACGATATAAACAATGACTCATCGCGAAAGGAATGCACTCGACAAGCCACCGAGAATAATCTAGGCCAGTGCCGAAATCCCTAGAGAGATCCGGAGCGTTCGTTGACGATATAAAAAGACCGCTCTCCGTTCCGAGCGGCAGTTTAGTCAGGGAAGCTATGGATTATACTATAGACGACCCCTCCCGATATAGAAGGCCCCGACACTCTGTCGAATGAGGCCCCTATATCTTCCGATGAAAGATGAACAACGTTTTCATCCAATTCACCCCAGCCAGGCAGGGGTACACCGTGAAGGGCGGTACTGATGTCTGAGGACATTATACCGCCATACCATTTAACACCCATATCAGTTATGACCCGTTTGTCTTTCTGGCAAACATCAGTTCAAAGGGGAAGGGAGCCAGGCTTCAACCTGAATAAAATCAAGATGGATTTCGGCCGGCCGAGCGGCAGTCAGTCAGTCAGTCAGTGAGTCTGTACCTAGAAAGTGAATCGTGCGTTTAAAGAAAGAATTCGAATACTGTGAAGATAAATTAAGCGTTAGTTGCTAAGTGTTGTATATAAATTAGTTGTGATAGTGAAATATTGTTAAAAATAAATTTGTTTAAGACAGTTAATTTTTTAATTCGTTACAACATGATACTGATTGGTCTCAAGGCCTTCGCCAAATCCTGTTCAATTTTCTCAAGTTTTGATATGAAAGTGGTCCTAATCAGTCTACACATTTTAGAGCCTGACTTCCTTTGAGTTTTTGATGTTTCGTTCCTGTATGCAGCATTACTGGATAAATGCATCCGGTCCCTGCGATTACCATATGGTTGAAATTAATTTACAGCCCATTTGATATTTTCCAAATCTGTCACTTTCTTTGTTACCAACCGATTCTTCTTGAACGCTTTTTTCGGCGCGTTAAGTTTTGAATTTGTCCAGGACTTCGACGATAGATTTGTATATAGTTTGTAAATTCAAAAATAGGGAGAATCCATAGGGTCACTGCGGGAGGCCCTGGTTTTTTGTCCTACACGCCACCTCCTAAGGCCGCCTCTGAATCTATATGTTGCCCAATCTATGTTCTTCCTTTCTCCCGACTACCAAGTAATATAAGTACTGTTTTTACAAAACCGACACAATCTATTTAAATTTTCTCTATCAAAGAAGTAGGTAAATTTGTATCCTGTTGTGGGTACAGAATAACGAAGGGAGCAGTACACACGTAAAAACATTGTGAGGCGAGAGTTATTCGAATCTCCATCGAGAGTTTGGTTTTGGGAGACTTTTGAGGTCGATATCTTGAACATTTTGGTCCGAGTCAAAGCAGGCACGGCCTCTCGTTAAGAAAAGAACGGCAACTTTTGTCTGGTTTTCTTTTTCGTCAAATTTTTGAATTGAGGATCATGAACTTGGGTTTCAGAAACTATTACTTTATGTAGACGGTGATTTTTAAATGTTCCATGGTCGGTTACTCTGATATTTTTCACCGATTCCTAAATAAACATTATTTTATCACAAACAATATTTTATATAGCTTGAAAACAAAAAGATCAATCCAACTATCAATCTGTTTTGTCTCCTTCATTTGAATGATCAGTCTATCAAAACTATTTCAGAACATTTACATATAGAAAATTAAAATTCAGTCATCTAAAATGATAACGTCACATTTCTGATCTTCAATAACCAAGACATCATCATCAATTTCTTCTATCTCTTGTTTATGTACCAACTGAATTTCCTGATCCTCTAGATGAGTTATGGTACCATTAACTTGTATGGGGCTCTTATGAACGTTTTCACTAGTTCTACTTATATTATAGTCCTGTGAAGTTGGGGATCGGAAATTTGTAGTAATGGTATTGCCATCATCTTCAGATTGAATGTCAACAACTGTATTATCGATAGGAGGAATAGATTCAGTAACTGCAATTGCATGTTTTATGCTTTCAGAAGAAATATTTTCAACATTTTGAATTACTTTATCCTGATTATCTTTCAATTGTTCAACATCTTTAGTATCTTCCATGACTTCTTCAGTTGCGTTCTTGGTGCATTCAGTTACCTTAGGTATAACTTCAGCAACAACTTTATTTACACAATCTGATATGCCATTATTATCAATATTTTTGTCCATTGACTGGTCATTTTTTGTACTGGCTGAATTGTCTGCAGGATATTCACTGAATTCAGTCTGCATACAATTTGCAATGTCAACATACTCTAAATCATCATCAGGATTATAATCAGCATCATCTTTATCTTCATATTCATCTTCCTGTACTTCAGTTTCAGGTTCTAGTAAACTACTATCTATTTCTCCGTCAGCACGTTTCTTTTGTTTTCGTTCTCTTTTGGGTTTGTAAGGATGATAGTGTTCATCATTTTCATCTTCCTGTATCAGAGGTGCCAAAAAATGACCTTCATCCATATCACTGTTGCGACGTTTCGGTTTCCTCCCACGTTTACTTTTTGGTTTTGAGTGATGGGCCACTGTGGACGGGGGTATGGTTTGTTTTCCATCGAAAGGTTGTACTTTTATTTCAGTTTTCTGTATGACATTATCATAATCTATACGATTTTTATTCACAACTATGTCAGCCCTAATCATGTCTTCAAAATCTACTAATTCATCTGTGCCTGCTGGTGTCTCGCCTTGGTCAGGTTCAAAACTGTTAATGTAAGTAGATGGTGCTACATATTCGCTGCTTGGTGCCTCATCTACAGTCAACTCATTAACAGCATGATATTCTTCATCATCAGAAGGAGCTTTAGGAGGTATTTCTACACCATCATCATCATAGTCAAAATCCTCTGTAAATATTGTTCGTTTTCTTTGTCTCAAGCTGTATTTCTTGGGAGCCGGTTCATAAGCCGGGTCATCGGTATAATCGCTGTCAGTTTCTGGTTCATCACTTTCGTAATGTTTTCGAGAAGTACGAGATCGCTTTCTGACCATTTTTATTTGTTTTTATATATATTTGACAAATAACCCAATTTTGAGGTTATATACTAAATCAGGGCGACAATTACATAAATCAGTATTGCCAAGAGTAAAAATTGTTAGTACTACAAAGATACTACATTATCCTACTACTATTCCACGAAAATGTAATATCCACCTGGGTTCGATTAAAGTTTCGTCCTATACGGACATTTTTAAACGAATATAATAAACATAGGAAGTTTTATTTTTAATTTTTCATGATGATCTCCTACCATGTAGTGGGTACATACATCAATTTATTATATTTTTCAATATTAGATGATAATTAATTTTCTAAACCAAATGGAACTTCCACAGAGTGTTAGCATTTATATAATGAAAACATCCGTCTGGTATGAGGAAACGGTCACTTCAGCCTGTAAAACTAGATATCATTCAATTACATGTAACTGAAAGAAAAAAAATGGCAAAGAGAAAAGAAGAAATTAGTATTTGTGTTCCTTGACAATGTTATTCGTTATTCTCAACGCCGATATAGGTATATACGTTTGGGAGTTAATTATTTCTGGCATCAATCGTTGGAGGAATACTTTAATAATCGAAATTTCTAAATTTCTCCCATTTTTATTCACATAAAAAACAGTAGTCTCAAAAAAAGTTCAATGTAAATGTTAAGCGTTTATACATTAACTCCTTGTGCTGTGTCAAGGTTGCTAGGCTTTTATTAAATATTTTACGTTTTTATGTTGTAAGTTACCTGATATAGTACAAAACATATTTTCCATATGGCAACACTGCAAGATAATATTAAATATTAAAGTCAAGAAATAAACAAAAATTTATATAAAATTTCTATTATTTTATCGATTATTAGTTAACTTTTCACCTGGAATTTGTTTTCAACTTTGATGCCTGCAAAGGATCCCTGCAAGCCATTCGCATGTAAAATTCAAGAGTGTTTGAAAAGTAAAGTATACCCTTCAGTAACTTCATTACATAATAATTTTTATTTTCAAGAAAATGGTTTCCAAGAACCTTCTTGTCAGGAAGCGATAGAAAGCATGAAGGAATGTTGTAGAACCTGGAAGGACAAAAGTTTTGTTTGTGGTGGTATAGATACTGACAAAAAAATTAATGATCCAAAGACACCTTAATTTAATGACATTTGTAAGACTTACTGGAAATACCTGGGGCTATCTGTTGGAACATTACAATTCATGACTTGTTTTGGAGATCATGTAGAACTTATAAAACTACAAACATTAAGTATGGAATCTGTGAATAAGGCTAAGCAGGGATACAGACAATATCTTATCATTTTAGCTAAGTGCAGTAGTGATACAAAAAATATGCAATATGTGTTTTGAAAAAGAGAGAATATATATATTTGAACGACTGTACTGAAGAATTCAGTCAGTTCAAAAATTACTTACAAAATTAGTGAAAACTAAACTTTAGAATCAATAAATTTATACTATTGAAAAAATTTAAATCTTTGTTACTGAAGTATTTTTTGTAATCAGATCCTTACTGGGAGTGAATCGAATTAAAACTTAATGAATGATATTAAATGTAATTGTTTTTTGCAAGCCACTATTTCAGCAAAATATCACCAAATGACTGCATTTCTGATTCCAAACTTTTTCATACATTAATGTTTTCACTAATTAATACAGTTTATTGTATGATTTTCACTATTTTATATTTTCATTAATTAGTTTTAATATGGATTTTCATCAAGTATCGGCCATTTCTATTCAATCAGTGTTTCCAGTCAACTTCTCTAAAGTAGATAGTGTATTTTTTCTACTTGTCAATAATATACCTAATTTCTTGACTAAATATCCCTGAAACTAGCAACTTTTTCAAAGATTGTTTGACATCAAAATGATGACGTTCCTATTGAAATTTCGTTTCAGTGGCGGCAGAATAATTTCTGAAACCGCTTTCAAACCCATACCGAATAGAATAGATTGTTTTTTGAGTGTATTTATTAATTTAATTGTTTCTATGAACACACAGAGTCCATTTGTGAGATCTATGAAGCATAAATTGCAGAAACGAAAACCACGTCCTCAATCAACTATCACTTGTGTCATTTAATGAATCTTGAAATGTACTGAAAAATAATTGATAAAACAACAGAAGTGTAAGTTTTTAGGGGGAAGTAATTATCCTTAATTAAAGGTATGCTCATATATAACCCATATATGCAAGTAGCTGAAATTGTCAGAAATTTAACAAATATGTAAAAAATACCTTCAGAGGAAGTTTTGGTTTCAGTAGAAACAAAACCGAAAATTTGATTAGAGTTTCTACAAGACGCTAGAATCTTTATCATGAAATTGTGTAAAAATAGGTTTGGATCTTTTTTGTAGAAACTACTACTTTGAAAAAATCGACATTCAATTCTTAATAAATATTTATTAAAATATCAATGTAAGTTTTCAATGGTTTGCAAGGTTTCTTCTCATTATATCATAACTTTGAAAGTTTTGCAGTCTTCAGGAGATGAAGTATACTACAGCTTGTCAAATGTAGGAAGAGCTTTCTGAATTACATTTTGGTCCCACCCACTAGATCTGCGTTCGTTAGAAGACGGTGAGAGTGGGAGAGAAAGATTTCTCAAGTCTCTTCTTAGATTTGACAAGCTGTAATTGGAATATATTATATGCTAGAGGTTCCAGTTCAATCTTTTATTTCACGTTACTCATTGAAAGGAGCAAAAATGAAAATAGTTACTAAAAAATAATCTTTTCATTAAGGAGTATACATGCAAAACTCAAGCCTAAAATATTACAACCCATCCTACTCTGGACATCAACTAATATTTTTAATGTCAATTGGTAGTTTTTCATTATTTTCTTTATGTAATATTGGATAATAGGAGTGTGTCCTGAAGTTTGTGATTATCGTGTTTTTACTCCCATCATTCCATGACACCCATTCCAATATGGGGCTGCTGATGTTTAATCTTTTTAGGGTTTCGTCCCTAACTTATATCATTAATTTTATAGTGCTGCTTAGCCTTGGACCTTGTTTTGTTACATGTGATGTTGGTTATGATATGAAGATGCATGCCCTATTGAATTAGTGAGGGAGCTGACTAGCATCGAAACAATTCAACAGATCCGCTGTAAAATTTGCTTCAGGAAATATTTGCAATAACAGTATGTGCACAATTTGGACCATTCTGAAACTCCACTTATATTCACTTTCCACAGACTAAGTGGTGATCTGTTATTTCGTCGCTTTCAGGTGCTCTGTCTTTATGAGGTTTATTGAAATCTCCATGAAAATAAATGATAAAAAATATGAAGTCATTTTCCATATATTTTACATTAGGTTAAAGTTCAATCAAGTAGTTAACACAATTCTGGAACCAACTGTGTTTATGATAAAAACAAGTATAATATTACAGATGTTAAATATTTGAAACATTTTATACATATTGAATCGAATATATAAAAATTTGGTGGTTCTGCGGAAAAGAGAAAGCTTGTTGACCATTGAATTTTAATTGATGGTAGAAACTGGCAATTACAATTCCAATAATCACGACATGCTGAAATAAAAAAAAGGTTTATTAGTAAGGCTATTAACCAATTTCTAGAAAAGAGAAAGCTTGTTGACCATTGAATTTTAATTGATGGTAGAAACTGGCAATTACAATTCCAATAATCACGACATGCTGAAATAAAAAAAAGATTTATTAGTAACGCTATTAACCAATTTCTCTGCTCACTATATTACATTAATCAGTCAATTGAGAAACCCCGCAAATATAAAACTATATTTGTGATGTGACTATTAATAAAAATAAGTTAATGAATTATGCTCAATCACTAATGATAATAAGTATTTTTATTAAGCATTTTCGTACAAGGTATACAAATGGTAAGTCAAATATTCAGTCATAAAAGCCATAGCTGAAAGAACATTGGCATTATTTTTTTTTATACATAGTCAGATAAAATATTCCTAATGTTCTCAAATGTTGTATGTAGAATTGTGAATTATACTCTTAGCTGACCACCAAAACGTTAATGACATGTAGAATAGCACGACACTGATGCATTAGTTTTAAAAGATAATAGATTGTTTATTACCTAATTCATACATTTATAACAAGATCAGATAATATTTCTTTTATGAAAACTGGCTTTTTAGTTCATTTCGAAGCCTTACTATCTTTTTTTAGCAACAAATGAAAACTCTATTGCACCCCAAAGATGAGATATTTAGGTAAATATGTAAATAGGCCAATGCAAAATATATGCCTAAGAGACTTTACTTGCCAACACACTTTTTCATTTGTGTTATTGCAAAAAATGATGTAGACATCCTCAGTCTTTGTCTCCATTTGAGTATTTGTCATAGTCTCAAGAATTTTTAAGACTCAGCAATTTATACAGCATAATTTAAATTAAGATTATCGAAATGTTATATAAAGTGTTTCCAATCAAAATGCAATTGAGCGATTTTCATAAATTTTACCAATGTGACTTTTTCTAAACTCATTCTGTATAATAATAAACTCTACTACTATGAAAATCGATTGTTTTTATAAACAGCATTAACAATAAACTGAATTAAATCAACCCAACAACCGGTAATTGAAGAAGAATTACCTGTTTGTGGTCATGCATGTTATTGATGTTAACTTGTTCCTAAAGAATGAAATTATGTAATTCTGAAAGTCACAAAGTAAAGACTAAGATAAGGTTATGGAAATATAAAAACTGCTTCTGCTTGATACTAAAATTAAAACTGAAACCAAGACAGTGATACAGACTAGAATCTCTATGATGTCAGATAAATAATTTTTAAATTGTACCCACGGTGACCAGTGATCATATATATTATTTCTGAATATTTACCTCTCAATAAGACTTGCTCTCATCTCAGACGTGATAGTAGAGGGAACAGCATCATTTAATTTGAATATCGATTCAATAACTGTAAGCTCTGTAGAAGTTGTGTCCATTCCAGCAAAGGCACACCAATCATTTACAACTAATCCTGATCCAATAACTTGACTACCCCTGTTAACTGTTCCAGCCTAAAAATAGTAATTGACATAAAGTAATTGAAAGTAGCATCCATTATTCAGTACCTGTATTTTAGTAAATTGACAATTGATTATATAAATCTTTTTGATTTTATTTAAATCCAATTTCAAGAGATATTAGGTTAACGTTAAGAGAAATGTGATTTGAATTTTTTTTTAATTAAACTAAATCAGTTCAATTTTCTTCAACACATTAAAATATTTATGAATAAATTCTTATGGAGAGGGTAGAGTGACAAGCCTAGGAAGGTGAATTACATTTCTAGGGATTTCACTCCGGTATATAAGAAAACAAATGTTAAATGAAACTAGATTTCAATTACATTTGACAAATTTTCACGTTATATGAGTACTAAACAGCCTTCAACATTTGAGTACAATAACATAAATATATGTTATTTCATTCTGACTGTTTACTGTTTTCATGCTGCATATAGACATATCCTTTTTTTCAAAAAAGTTCACAATTAGTTTATGTACATATATCAACCTTTTTATTGTGAAAAGATTTTTGATCACTGTGCAATATTCGAATTGTCACACAAAGAATGTCTCTAGTCTAGTCTAACCTCGCAAATGTGTTGGAAGCTCTTGGCTCCTACCGAGCAAGTCTAAATTGGTAGCAAATTGACAAAAAGGACTCTCCTCGATAGGAAGACTCAACAAATTGTCTTTGGTCTGGATTTCTGGCCATACTGGCCCAAAAGGCAATGAGGCTGCTGACTTCCTTACAAAAGAGGGTGCCACAAGCAGCTTTATCGGACCAGAACCTGTCATTGGCATCGCTTTAGGCTTTTCTAAACAAACATTGAACACCTGGATGGTAAAAAGATTTATGGACTTCTGGCAAAATCTTTCAGGATTGGTTCATTCATCCTTCGTAGCTTGATACCAAACAGTTGTTGAGACAGTAGGGATGAAATACGATGTCTAACAGGCCTTCTCACAGGTCACTGTCATCTGAATCATCATATGCAGAGACTCTTGACTATCAGAAGACAGTGTGTGTCGCCTCTGTTCGGAAAATGCTGAAACAGCAGAGCATATACTCTGTGCCTGCCCCGATGGGGACCGAATCAGGTTTTAGGAGTTTGGCATAGCCACAATCTCACTATTTGACCCGGACGATCACTCACCATATAAACTAATAGGCTTCGTTACGAAGCTGGGTTTATTTAGTTGAGTGTGAATAGGTGTGAGACACAATAAACCCTTGCGGGTTGCAGTGAAGAGTCGAATAGACCCACTCACTTTTGACATAACCTAACTGTGTAATATTCTCTCTAGTGAATTGTCAAAAGTTCGGCTGCTCATAAAAGTCACTGTTTTCGCTTACATATGTAATGACAGATTTAAATACATACCACTAATGGAATTTGAAGTAATGAGGATAGTTCTTCCTGGTCCACTATGCTGCAATTTGGATGTACCAAACCACCTTGATTGTTCAGAGCACAATACGATCCCACCAAAACATTACTTGCTAGTGTTTGTCTGAAAACTTCTACTTTGAGCGTGTCTGCTATGATTTCTTCTGTTTCCTGAAGTCACGAAAAGTAAAAGCTGAATTACAGTTGTCACATATTTCTGTAAACCAAGATGAGTCTCCGATTATGGAGCCCTATCTCAGTATTTAGGGTATCCCACTTATTAAGTCTCAAAAAATTTCAAAATTCAAATTTCAGTAGACCATATCCAATAAGGATTTCTATTGGAACATATGTATATACTCTGTATATTTGTCATTAGATTTTGATCATGAGCTCATAATGAAATATTACCAGTTTAATGAATATATAATTTTGTCAAATACTTACTGTGTCTAAGTCTGGATGAACCAGGGCTACATAATCGTTACAGGCAATCACATTTCCCAAAGCAGACAATCTTTCTTCAATCCTTTGTACATGAACAGAATCTGGTAAAGCATTTCTGATGTGTTGAAGTTCTGAATCATAGGTTGAATTGGGCACTAATAATCCATGTTTATTTCCGACACACATCCTACCAATTATTCGACAACCAGATAGTGCTGTGTGAATTACTGGAATCGTTTGCCCCAACTCTGATTGAAAAGTACTGTAACATAAATAATGAAAGCATGCCTCGGTAAAAAGTTTCAGTGAAATGTATTGTTCAATTTTTAACTAACCTGTAAAAATTTTCTGAACCACCAATTCCTACTAAACAATAGGAATTCGTTAACTTAGAAAATACTCCTATTTCGTTATTATTTTCAAATTGTACACGCAACGCCATTTTATAAAGTTCAACACAAGTAAGTGAAAACTGAAAACCTAAAATTTCAAAACCAATCGAAATCAGAATTCCCAGAAACTAAATGAATGAACCCTGTATAAATAAATCTTATTATTGTCTGTCTCTTTTGTACAGCCGGTGCTAACTGCGTGGCGGATATGACCAGTTTTCCTTCTGTTCTGTTATTTGGTACCAACACAGTGTACCAACACAGTGTACCAACACTCCGTTTTGGATTGTGTAATCACAGCTTCGTCCTTGGATTCAGGTCGGCTTGCTTTACGCATTAATATGTATCCTTCATCCTTCATTAGCTTCTTTTTCTTTTGTATCATGGAAGTAGAAACCAAGGGAATAAGCACTCAAATCGCCGAGTGACGACTGAAGTATGGCAAACTTATGGTAAGATAAATCGAAGCGTGTTAGTCGTGATTCAGTATTCGTATCTCTATATAATATAGAGAAGTAATCAAATATCACCTAAACTTATACGGAGGAAAAATATCGAAGGATCTGAATAAGCAAAAAAAATTGTATCAGACAAGAGTTATTTCGGAAAAAATATACATATCAGAATCCATTTTATAGCAAAGCAGAGTAAGTTTAAAATAACAAGAAGACAGCTCATAACAAAAATAATTCCAATAATAATAAATCCAATACAAAACCTATTTTTATTTACTTCGGTTGTGTATCGATAAGAATTAAATGAAGATGTTATTGTCTCAATATGATTTTTATCAACAATAAATCCATAACTATTCACAGGCTTTCTTATTTTTATTTAAAATTTAATGTAAAACGGATCTGCCTTTAGCGCCGATACCCATTACCATACTTCACGATACCCTTGCACGCGTTCATACTTTTGCACATTCCATTGGTTTTCACTACTATGTTTTATCTACATTTTTCTTTGTGTTCGAGCATTTTTTTGTCCTTAATTAATTTATTGTTTCTTTCACCTCTTGTTTTGGTCACAGTCTGAATTTTTGTGTGTTGATAGAAATTAGCTTTATAAAATTTTGGGATAACTGGAATTTTAAGGAAATGTATCTTCCTCCAATATTTCGGAAAAAATATACATATCAGAATCCATTTTATAGCAAAGCAGAGTAAGTTTAAAATAACAAGAAGACAGCTTCATAACAAAAATAATTCTTTTCAAAGGACAATCAATATTTACTTTTGTTCAAGTGGATATTTAATAAATACAATATAAAACCTATTTTTATTTACGTCGGTTATGTATCGATAAAAATTAAATGAAGGTATTATTGTCTGAATGTGATTTTTATCAACAATAAATCCATAACTATCCACAGGCTTTCTTATTTTTATTTAAAATTTAATGCAAGAACGGATCTGCCTTCAGCGCCGATACCCATTACCATATTTCACGCTACCCTTGCACGCGCCTATAGTTCTTACTTATGCACATTCCATTGGTTTTCACTATTATGTTTTGTCTACATTTTTCTGTGTTCGAGCATTTTTTGTCCTGAATTAATTTATTGTTTCTTTCACCTCTTGTTTTGGTCACAGTCTGAATTTTTGTTATTTGATTTAATTTGATTTGATTTGATTTATTTGATTATAAGACATGTATCTAATTGAATTTTTGATATTTCTGTTATTTTTCCTGAATTGGCTACTCTATCCATCTGTAACTTCAAATCACTGTTCTGTAATTAAAGTGCAATTCAGTTGAAATTAATTACAGATCAGTGACCCTGAATTCAAACATCAACTACATATGATAACTGACACTAATATAAATGCATAGTGCCAAATTGAAAAAGATACGTGACTCCAGTGCTAAATTGAAAAAAATACATGAACTCCTACTGAAAACTTCACCAACATGCTCGATGGAATGAATACAATGGGAACGACTGCCAAACATCAAACAAAACTGCAAAATCAAGAATACTAACATCACATACATTTGACAACAGACACTTAATAACAAATACATATGATAGTCAATGTAGTAGGTGTCACTTTTGGGTTCACCAGTGATCCAAGTGCAGCCTGTCTACGAAAATATTGAATCGCTCCGATCATTTCGTTCGTTTTCTGTTTAGTTTCGAAGTTTGTTGAATGGCAACACTGGGGTGTAAAATCGTTTCCTCACATATTGCGAAATAAATGACATAAGACACATGGCACATCTTAAAATGTCAAGTGATTTAGATTTCCCGCGGTAAAAGCATTTTGTTGTTTAATTGTCCTGTAATTAATTGTGTATTATTATTGTTAGTTCATCGTAAATCATACAAAGTGAAATATTTTTTTGTTGACCATCGTAAGTAATTTGTTCTACAAATCAAGTTTTTGCTTACATAACCCTACTTATTTCATGATCAGCAGGAGACTCAGTTACAACATAAAAATGGCAAATAAAAGACGTCGGCAAATTAGCGGTGACAATCAAACTAAAACAAAGAGAGCAAAATGTAAGTGTTTCTATTATTTGAATATATTGAGGTAAATTGGTTCAATTTTCAGTTACCCTCGAAAGTGTGAATCTTCCTACAACTACTACTGAAGGAGTAGTACTAGTAACTGGAGCAGGAGACGTGGGTCAATTAGGCTTGGGGCCTGATGTTTTGGAAAAGTCTAGACCGGCTCTAGTTGAGTTAAATCATATTGTCGTTGATATCTGTGCTGGAGGTATGCATACAGTTTGCCTCACTAAAGAAGGGAAAGTAAGTATTGAATCACAAGTGTCAATTCATTGATGCACTGCTAGTAGTTTTATATTTCTCGTTGGGGTAATATTTGGAAATCAATCAAATATGTGAGTTCATATGAATTGGGAAGTTCATCGTCCATTTATGACGTCTACTGGACATATTGAAACTAAGCCAGATGGTTAACAAAAATGAAGTTTTCATATATTTTTGTGGTTTCTTGTGCTCCCTATGAGTGAAAGTAAAAACGCATTTGATTTGCTAGAAGAATATCTTGCAGACAAAACATAAATGAAAAATGTGATTTTTCTGAAATCTGTGGATTTCTATTGGAAAATATAGCTCTTGATTATCCAAACTTGATGTCTGAAGTCAGTTGATGCTGCTCAAAAACGATAATGATATGTTAATGATAATGTTAATTTGTTCATTCTATATGACAACTTTCGGCTATAACATAATGTGTGATTGCTAATTTTAGGTGCTTACATTTGGTTGTAATGATGAAGGAGCCCTTGGAAGAGTTACTGATGGAAAGGAAGATGCTGAGTTTGAAGCAGGAGAAGTTGAACTACCTGCAAAGGTAATTCAAGTTTCTGCAGGTGATTCACACACAGCAGCATTGCTGGAAGATGGAAGAGTTTTTGCATGGGGGACCTTCAGGGTAGGATTATTTTGAAATATGTCTGTTTTTAAATGCTTACCTTCATAGAATTGCACTTTTGATTTTTTTATCTATCTTTTTCTAGGATTCACATGGTAACATGGGCATGACATCGAGTGGAAATGAAAAGCTTCCATATGAAATTATTAAAGATAACATTATCATAAAAATAGCATCAGGTGCTGACCACATAGTATTTCTAACCAATCACGGCGATGTATATACATGCGGGTGTGCTGAACAAGGCCAGTTAGGTAGAACCTCAGAAAGAGGAAGTAGTCGAAATGCCAGAAATGGAATCGGTAAGGGGCAAATAGGTATGAAATCATCATTTAAACATCTATTTGTTTCAATTGAATGCTCATTGGGATACAATAATTGTTTGTTTCTCCACATTTTCAAGTGATGAAGGTTTCACTATAAATATAGAAGATATAGCATTTCAAATCTCTCTTTTCATTAAGGAGAGACTAATTTTACATTGCTGTATTAAAACCTAGATGATTCTAATTTTAACAAGTGATTTTCGAAAGATTGTAACATTCCAAGTACTCTTCTGGGTGATACCTATTTATCAGTTTTGATATTCTGTTCATCCCTTCATACTTCATACCGTTTCATACTTAATCCCTTGTAGCTTGATAAATTTTTCATTCCAAATTGTATAACTCCTGCTGATTATTCAAGTTACACGTACTGTGAGATTTTCACTGAACAGTTCAACCCCAACACTTGTCAGTATGAACACGTCTAGGGAAGCTATTGTATAGTGAAAAAAGTGTTGCGGTTTTGTAAAATGTTCAGTGATAATATCATAATGCAAGGTTACTTGATTACGTTAGGTATTTTTATTGAGGGTTGGTCAATTCCATATTCCTGCTGTTGTTATTACAAGATTCAAGAGCCTCAGTGCTGCTGTTAGTGTGGTTGCTGTTATTTCCAAACAAGCAAATCTTTTTACTTTGCCTGGTTTGTGAATAGTAGTCCTTTTTTAATTTTTTTTCTAATAAGTTGTATACAATATTTTTGAATTATATTAAGTTCTGAGTTGGAAGTAATTCATCATTCCTGCTATTGTATAGTGAAATATGCATAATCCTGAAGATTTTCAGTGTGTTTTCACCTTTCAAATATTTTTGATAATTATTTGATGATAATTAATATTCAATAATGCATGAATTTGTTGACTCCATGTTGTTGTCTTGTTGACCAGCTGCAAAAAATTATGCATCTTTTTTATTTTACAGCAAAACTTCTTCATCCATCACCAATCAGCCTAAAGCCTAGCTTAAAATTACATTTTGACAATATTTGGGCTGGCACTTATGGAACATTTTGCAAAGTAGCCAATAGCACTGACATTTATGTTTTTGGACTGAATAATTATAATCAGCTAGGTAAGATTTTTTAATTTATATTGCAATGAAGAATACTAGATGCCTGAAAAGTTCGTAGGCTAACACACAGATGGCGCTTCTAGTATTAAATATGATTTTTTAGTCAACCCTAATTTTCAAAAGACAAATGTACAAATTTAACAGCTGTCTGACTATTAGATAGTGTGAAAAAACTTTTGTTAGTTTGAAGAAAATGGATAAAAAGGAATTTCATGTGTAAATAAAGCATTACTGTTGGAAAGTGGTTTACTGAGTTTAAACAGGGTGAAAACTGAGGATGATGCACACAGTGGATGCCCCAAAGAGTATGTTACCGACGAAAACATAAAAAAGTCCACTAAATAATTTTAAAAGGCTGCAAAGCGAAGTTGATCAAAATAGCTGAGGCTCTGAAGATATCAAAGGATCATGTTGGACATATCGTACATGAATATTTGGGTATACGAAAGCTCTTTTAAAATTGGGTGCCGTGTGATCTCACAATCGACCAAAAAAACCACAAAGTGATAATTATAAGCAGTGTTCCACCAAAAACATCTCAACTTTGAGTCGATATGTGAAATGAATGAAACATGGCTCCATCATTTCGCACCAGAATCAAACGATCGCCATATGAGTGGACTGCATGTGGCGGACATGCACATGTCCGCATGTTATAATATTCAAGGACTATCTTGTAAAGGGAAAAACAATCAACAGCGATTATTATATATCGGACCCATTTGAAGAGAAAAAAGTGATGTTTCCTCAAGAAAAGGCACTATGTCAAATTGTCTACACATCCACGTATTCTCCAGACCTGCGTGCCAGCATGTTAACTCACGAACTTTTCAGCTCAACTGTTATTGCTCACTAGTAACACAGACATTAACATTTTGTACTTTTTCAGGTTTGAAATCCCAAAATCCTCACTTTATGCCTACATTGTCAAAAGAGTTTTCAAAATACAAATGGAACTTGATAAGTAGTGGACAGCATCATTCAATAGGCTTAGATGAAGATGGAAAAGTGTATGCTATTGGTAGAAAAGATTATGGCAGGTTGGGACTAGGAGAAGGCTGTATGGATGCTGAAGAGATTCAGTTGATATCAACATTGGAAGATAAAAAAATCAAGAATGTTGCTTGTGGATCTGCCACATCATTTGCTGTAACTGAAGATGGTAAATATCAAGACTCCAATAATTTGGACCCTGTTTGTTCTGCAATTAATATTCATAAAGTTGACGAGTATTCCATATGAATGTTTTCAACAAATAATTTGTTGCAGTATTTTCGAGAACCATTATTTTTAATTGAAATTCACACACAGACTAATGATTTGATAAGTCAATATGAGAATCATCTCCAAATTATTATTAAGATCAACCAAGACTGGATGTAAGCATTTCCTGTAATTGGGTATCTCCTGTTGGACATACGTCTGAGGTTGCTTTTTCTAAACTTTCCGCTTTCAATTTTTGTGTCCCATTGGAGATTTATATTCTTTGACCAGTCACATTGAAGTTTAAATAATCTCTATATAATAAACAACAGAACAAAAGAAATATACGATAATGATGTTACCAGTCTTTTCAGTTCTTCAAATAAAAAGAAGCATATTTTTCACTTTTGAATAACATTTTGTGAGAGTGTGTTGAAATTATATCACTGTATTATTTTTTTAGGAGATTTATATGGATGGGGAATGGGGACCAATGGACAACTGGGGACAGGTGAAGAAGATGACTTGGAAGTACCAACTCTAATAAAAAGCAAGCAACTTCAAGATCGAAAAGTATTTAGGGTTAGTAGCGGAGGCCAGCATACAGTAATTTTAGCTATTTCTAACTCAAACAATAATCAAGGTGACTGCATTTAAGTGAAATAAAAAAATTTTTGAAGCGATATATTGTTGATTTATTAAAACTTTGTTAATACAAAGTATTGACTTTTAGGACTGAAATGGAAATCAATTTTGTTTTTTATGACATTATATATGAAGAAGAACATGAAAGGAACAAATCATTTTTCCTTTTTATACAAAAGTAAACCATTTGATAAAATGATTTGAAGGGTTAGAAATCTTTTTTCGATTCTGTTGTTAATCTTATGGAACTTCAAATATTCTGCAGAGTATTATTTTTCCTTTATATTTCAAAATGTGACAATTATGTACAAAAATCATTAATTATTTTGAAACCATTCAGGAATCCTTACAGAAGTAACCAGAGAAACGTAAGAATATTTTTGCATTAAAAAAGAGTCAATATTTGATTGAACTAATAATTTTTTGAAGTCTTAGACTTGTATGAACAAGTAGAACTAAATTTATATTTTTTAACTCAAAAATTTATATAAATATTGAATTTTCAAAAAATTCCATGTGTTTAAAATTGTTTAACCATAATCCCAAGATGTTTTGTTGATTAATTAACTTTGGTTTATATTATGTTATTATTGCATACATATTTTAAACAGTATTTTGTGTAATTGTGTTCATCCTTAATAAATGTCTCACTGCCATATCTTATTTTATCAATTGTATTATGAAGTATTTATTTAATAAATGATAAACTCAGTGATTCTCATTTCAATATCCTATTCGCAATGAAGTTTTGAGTTGTGAATTGAATTGGTTTATTCCAGAACGAGGTCTGTTCAGAAAATAGGTGAATTTTCATTCATTTATGAATTTCTATTTTGTCCCCTTCAAAGTAGTCCCCCTCAGATAAAATACACTCGTGTAAGAGTTTTGTCCAATCTTCAAAGCAGTTCTAATATGAGCTCTCTTAGCAATTCGATTTTTATGTCATCAATCGTCGTAAAACGCCATCCTTTCATGGGTTCCCTCAATCTTGAGAACAGGAAAAAGTCGCACGGGGCCAAATCTGGTGAGTACGGTGGCTGAAGGATGGTTATGGTGTTGTATTTGGACAAAATATATGAACAAGCAATGGCGAGTGATTAGGTGCATTATCGTATTGCAAAAGCCATGAATTTTTCCATAATACAGGTCGTTTTCTTCGTATTGCTTCTCGCAAGCGGCTGCTTCTCGCAAGCGGCGGTAATCAAAGAAAACAGTGAGCAAAACCTTGATCGAACTTGTCGTGCTTTTTATGGTCTTTGCTCTCCTAGGTTCTTACACTGGGACAATTGGTTTTTAGTTTCTGTGTCATAATCATATAGCCATGATTCATCACCAGTTAGGACCCTTTTGAGTAAATCTGGATCGATGTATGCGATCCAATTTTCTTCACTTCAGTTGCAGCTGTATGAACTGATGACAATTTTTGAATTGTAGGAGCAAATCCGAATTCCAATTTAAAGAAACTTGAAGTCATGTTCAAAAACCTTTTTTTTATAAGCTGAAAACTCGGTAATATACTTGGTATATTTTGGCTTTCAACATTTTTTACAAAAATTTTACAATTTTCCACAACGTGTGATATTCTTTCACTCAGATTTTAGAAACTTGATTCAATTCATAATGTAGATCAAATTATGTAAAAATTGTAATTTCTCCAAAACTATCAAATACCTACTATGATAAAATGAGATGAGAGAGTGAGAGTTGTTCCAGAAAAAAAGGACTTACACTTGTTTTTCGTAGAAAACTAACAATATACTCATCTTTCTATATCACTACAGAGGTAAAGTATTGTAAGCTTTTTTATGAGGTTTCCCCAATTCAAACAATATAGGTTTTCATCAATATCAATGATTATGACTTATTGGCATTCTATGCAAGATTAATATGAAATGCAAATTTGATATTCCATGATATAAAGAGGTTTGCAGTGAGCTATAGGCTTACCTTTGTGAATGTATGAAACTGCTCTTTTCTCAGATACAAGTATTGAATTCATCAGTTGGTTGTTGCAGAATCCCAAAAAGAAACGACTTATCACAGATAATGGATTATATGTATCCAAGGACGAAAAAAGTACAGGTGAGATTCCATAAGCGAAAAGTAATCAATTTTGTCTGAATTAAAACCCAGTACCCTAGTTATTCAAACAGCGTATCAGCCTAAGGCCAGTTTTTCATTCAAGTTTCTTATGTGTAGCACTGTTTAGTCATTTTCAAGTCCTTTTACATCACGATAATGCGCCTGCTTATTCGTCATTGCTTGTTTGTAATTTTTATGCCAAAAACACGATCGTTATCCTGCCTCACCCACCGTATTCACCAGATTTAGTCCCGTTCGACTTTTTCCTGTCACCAAGATTGATGATATACCCACAAAAGGACGGCGTTTTGCAACGATTGAGCAGATAAAATCCGAATCGCCGAGAGAGCTCAAGAATATACCAAAAAATGCATATCAGAACTGCTTCAAAGATTAGAATAAACGCTGGTATAGGTATTGTATATTTGAGAGGGACTACTTTGACGGAAACAAAATAGAATAAATAAATATTTTTTGAGAAAAATAAAAATTCCCCTTATTTTTTTGAGCAGACAGCGTATATGGAGAATTACAAGTCAATTAATGTGGGTGGTTACCTGTTCCTCTCCAATTATCGCCTTGTTTTTACTATAAAACGTCCTTTAAATTTTTCATAATTTTTGATAATTGCCGATAACCCCTACGCTTTATCAAGCGTTTTCAGCATGAAAAGCTATTGTATACCGAAACAAGAGTTACGGTTTTGTAAACTGTCTAGTGGAAATCTCACAATGAAGTGTTACTTGAATAAATCATGAATTCATTCACATAAACTTCCCTGAAATAACCCCCATATAAAAATGTGAAAACCTTAAACTCTGATATGGAATCCAGAGTCGTTGTTGGTTCCTAGAAAAATGTAAATGAAATGAGAGTTTCGACAATGAGAACTTGATTAAATAGAATGACTGTGTAATGAAAAGCCTTTAGAAGACATGCAGAAAGGTTGATTGTTATAACGTCGTAGAAAGCTAAACAATATCTAGGATTGGATAAGGCAAACCTGAGATCAGTAACTTGAATTTTATGAAACACTGTCTAGCCCACAACAGGGCTGAGAAATACTCGAGAAAAGTACTCCAAACAGAAGTATAAATTCTGTTTATTTCTATTTGTATGTACTTGTGTCTATGGGATCAACAACAAACTACTAACCTCAAGGTTAGTCTATATACAAAGTCGAAGCTTTGTATTCTATACCTATTCAACGTCAAAGGTAAACGAGAACCCCATTCACATTATTTCTAACAGAAGAACTCGTGATTCAATTCAAATCAAGGTGGCATGGTATTGTGAAAAATACGACCTACGATGTTATTTTTTCTGTTTTTGGTAGTAAAATGGAACTGGACATTTTATATTTATGAAATCACCAATCACAACTTTCATTTACCTAACACTTTGATTCATAAGTAACACTAAAATGAAAGACGGTATATTTGTCTGAGAAATTTATTCCTATGTCTATTATATTCATATCTTCGGTAGCTATATTGAGTCCGCCATTTGAACAAACTACATATATCTAGTTTGCATGGTGAATGTGCAGCAAAAATTACGTAAACACAAAGTGTGAATATGATTAGTGTGAATGATAATTACATATTAGATGAAACAGCTGACGCTCTTATTATGGATGGTTGTTGTACTCTTGAATTGAGAAAGAAGTGTGCCATGATTTTTTCTGTTTATTTTTTATTCTTTCGTTTCACGTTTAAACTATATGCATACATGTTTCAGCACACATGTGCTAGCTCGGAAATAAACGTAATCCACACGTTGATATAACTTTTATCGACCAATTTGCAAATTCAACGTATAAATCACGTCGTGTATATCCATTAAATAAACCCCACTAGTGGACCTCGGAAGTGCTATAAAAACAAATCCCGCAAATAAAGTTATTTACGCCGTTTTTGCCACACAACGGCCTGGAATGAGGGTTTCGTTGAATTTAAAATTGAAATGTCAAGTGTGCTATTAATCATCGTTGTAGACATTAAAGCAGCTTTTGTTTGGGAAAAGATGAGTGCCTGGATTTTCCAAGAATATGAGGGTATTATTTCATGTAATATAGAGAATGAACAAATTTTCTGATTTTTTTTGAGAGCACAACAAGAAAATACGAAAAACGCCCAAAGAGTGTTGCTAGCGATTTACGTTGGATTTAAATCGTGGTGAACTGATTTAGGAAAACCGTCACATATAACCTTATAGATATCCAGGCTGATACCCAAATATCACAAGTAAACTTGATACCACGCGGCCTGACTAAAACCTTTTCAGGAATACTGTTGCGAATAATAATGATTATTTTGTTGTACCTTAAGCCCTATATATAAGCAAGCCGAGAGAAACATTCTTTATATCATAAGCGATCTCTCCTGTCAACGAGAGAACATGCTGGAACCCCGAAACTTTGATGTTATGTGGTTCAAAATAATATCACGGAAGATCACCAAATTCATATGTTGTGTTTATCGACCACCTAGCGACCCACAATAATATTCCTTATATTATAAGGAACTATTCTCTTCACTTGCAAAAACACCATTGTCTTTCTGCAAATCAATCATCCCGGTGCTTAAAATTTCCATATTCGGTGACTTCAATATCCACAATATAGAGTGGCTCAAATTTTCAAATATCAAAGACGAGAAAGCTTATGCTTCTGTAATAAGCAGCGGACTTACTCAGATTATAAATGAGCCCAACAGGATTCCCGACTGTCATGCAGAATATGCTAGTCTTCTGGTCTATACCTAACAACCAATCCAGAAATTTTACACAGTGACCGTAAGGTCTCCTTTGGGATCTTCTGACCACAAACTCATTTCAGTATTGAGTGAATTACCGATAAATGTTGGGGAACAATCTAAGCCGCGCAAAGTTTTTTTTCAAGGAAAAAACACAAGCACTACAGGAAAATCCTTAAGGCGCTCTTAGAGCGGTGCCTGTGTGAAAGTAGTGATTCACATTGGATTTAAATCGCTGGAGATTAAATCCATTTGGAAAAACGTTCTCAGGAAGTTTATTTCACATAAACACAGTTCTCCATCAGATGGCAGAGTGGAGTGAACAGTGTAGTTCGAAGTGTACTGAGGTGAACCTCAAAACGATGAGCAACCACAGTCCGTCGCGTATTTCTGATATGTACCTACCGCTCTTGGTGGAATCAAATGTGCCAAGTCACTTGAACACCTCCTGTGAAAGTATCTATAGAAGAGAAATACATTTTCAACCTTTTTTCGATGTTCCAGACTATCAAGGTTGCATGTGATGTTCGCGTCTCCAGTCAGGCGGATGGCTCTTTTCTGTATGCAATCCAACAACTTCAGGGTATGTTCGGGGGCAGAGCTCCATACATGAGATTATTAATCCAAAAAAGGTCTGATCTGAGCTTTATAAAGCATCAAACGTTGCTGATGTGTGTACAGTTTTCTGGTTCGGAACAGTGTTCCAAGCTTTTGAAAATCAGCCTTTGCAATTCCAGCAACATGATTGTGCCAAGACTTATTGATGTCCATTTTAACTCACAACAAACTTATCGAAGCAGAAAGCGGAATTGTCTGAC